CAAAAGCTTAAATAAGTTATATTACTGTTAGAGGCCTTTGATTCCAGCTGAGGGCAGATTATTAGATAAGAGAAAACATCATCTACAGAACACCTAAAACAAGATGAAGTTATAACGCGGAGCTTAATGTTCAGCTGCATGGTACATCAGGTTGTAGCCACCAGTTTAGTGATGTGTTCATTGGTTAGCTTTTGTACAGACTTTTTAAAATGCTGCACATCCTGCCTGCCAGTAAGTGTTCGACTGTAATCAGGAACAGATGAACCTCAAGTGACACTGTGGATTTAAGAGGCAGATTCTAAGTAACCATTATTCTTTATTAGACTCTAAATGGGGATATCCAGGCTGTTCATTGTCTGCGCAGTGTGCAGACTGAGGAGAAAGTGCAAGAGTCAGTGCAATCGCCAGCTTAAGGATATGCAGATTTTTTTTAAAAACCAGAAACTACTTGTACAGTTTTGTCACACCTTTTCACCGCGGAACTGCAACAGGGTTCGACTTCAATTTCCCGTCTGCAGAATGTTCTTATAGTCGGTTCCTAGCATGATTCATAATGGCGCCTCAGACTAGTTTTAACCTCTCAACACTTCAGCTTCAATGAGCCAAAACCAAATACTAAAAGCCGCAAACTAGGAACTTTATTTTTAACCTGAGAAGATGAAAATGCCACATGAGTCAGAGCGGGACCTGACAGAGCACAACAGGGGTGACTTTTTTTTTTTTTTTAAAGAATATGTGAATACATGCTAGGGATGTGTCACACACACACATACAGGTGTACATACACACACATTAGCATATATCACTGTCAATATACAGAATCATTCCGAGCACAAAGATCTGAAACATGGGAATACAGAGTCTGAAAATAGCACCCTCCTCTGCATGGAAGAATGTGCGGTTTTAAGAGTAATGAGAGCATAAAGAATGGCATGTGGTGGTCACACACACACATACACACACACACATCTCATGTGTTATGCCTGGCCATTAGTCAAAGCTGTCACTATATGTACTGCCACATCGTTAGTATTGCCACTGTCAGGTGTACTTGAGTCATTAGTGTGAGAGAACATGGTGTGGAAGAAAGGCTATTCTGTAGAAAACATCTCACTCTGTGTTTCTGCTTTGTTTCTTTCAAACTCCTTTTAAGATGGCCATGTAACTGAGAGTGGGATTTTCGTTTTCCACAGTAGAACATGCTGCTGACCCTTGCAAAATGCTCTTGTTACTTGATCGTGCACAAAGCAATACAAACAAAAGAATCAGTCATTGTAATGTATTTTGAATGTTATAAAGTGCAGGGTATTAGATAAAAGCACGAGCTTAACAGTAATCTACAGCGATGTGAATACTACTTTCCAGTTGCCAAGAAATAGAGGACAGGATGAAGGACAGGCCATGTTTTACAGTTAGAAAATTGGAAAAATTCTTCCTGCAAGTTCATTATACATGGGTCAAGGTAATGGCTCTGAGTTGTGTATTTCTTTCATGAATAAAACGTGTGCCACACAGAAAACCCCACTATAATAATAATAGTGGTAAACTGTGGGGTTTTTCAGCTGCACTGTTAAAACTGTATATTTTTTTTAGAAACAGTGACCTGACACTAGAAAAGGATTACTAGTTTGTTAGTTTTAGGAAAGTTCTTAAGCAATGTCATATCCATCCTGCAACA